GCCTCTCTCGCCCCTCATGACAATGTTTCCCGCTTTCACGTCACCTCCACTCGCATTGCATCTCTCTCGTCCAGACTCTCAATGTCATGACCCTTTGCATCGATTGCCCGCCAGAGATCCTGCCCTACCGCTTAGTATCCGTCCCGTGACGTGACCAAACTGGCAGCGAGACTGTACTTCCGATTGCGCTTGGTTCATGAAATGACCTCACTGTACTTAGACCCCTCAGATCGTTCTAGGCGGTCTCGCACCCAGACTGCGAACGCTCATGAACGTAGAGCGGCTGCTAAGTCCTGTGTGATCTGATGTCGCATCTATTTCGCCTGGTAGCTTTGCCCCAATATCCAAATGCTGCTTCTACACGCTCAGATACTTCCAAAGCCGGGAGGCAAGAGGGGAATGCCGGCCTTTTCCTGAAAATATCCGTGGTCGTGTGGAACACATCGAGTCAGTCAGGTTCGAGGACAAGTTGCGATGCGGGCGGTACAAAAGGCGCCACGCTTCCCTGCCACTTCGCGGAGCTGCTGGCCCTTGGCGCATAGCCACGCGAGCCAGTGCTCACCTTATCCTCCTTCTCCTTCTTTTCCCTCTCTGCACTCTCATCGCTGGCCTTCTTCTCCTCTGCAGCCCCAATCACGGGCGCCCCATCCGGAATCGGCTTGGCGTTCTTTTTGGCGTTCTCCGCCTCCTGTTCGTGGCCCAGATCGCCTGCGTGCGTAGCTACTAGTGTGGGTCTAAAGGACTTGAAAACGGGAATCAAAGTCGGAGCGAATTTGGAACGAAGTTCAGAGTAGAGTGAGGAGACGCTGTTACCACCTGTCGTGAGCTCCGTCTCGAACTGCGTCAGAAGCGATGTAGCATGTCAGCAGAGGTTCACGTCGCAAGTGGACAGAAACCTCCGTGTATCGCTTGCCGCAAGGTCTTGATTGTTTTGAAGCGAATCCGAGCGACCGGCTCGGAAGGGGAGGAAGCACTTACCCTGTACTCCTCATCATTGTCTTCGATCTCGTGGCTTACTTCCGGCCACCTGATCACGCCGGCTGCCTCAGACCCATCGGATGCTTGACCGCTCCAAGCAAGAGCGAAAGAGCAGTCGTAGATGGTGATCAACTTGTTCTTTCTATTACCCAGCTCCACATCTGTGGCACGTTTGTGGGTGTGACATGCGCAAGTCAGGAGTCAGCTGGCTCGATCGGACCTCCAGAGCGATGCAAGTGAAGCCGAGTGCGGAGCAAAGAAAAACTTTTGCACTCACCACCCTCCCAATCCTTGATCTCGGTGGTCTTGACGCTACCACCAGCCAATTGAGCTTCCAGGCCTACCAAATGAGCGTTGAAATAGCTCTTTGCCCAAGCCGTGGTTCCCTTCGTCCTCCAATGATACTGCTTGTTCCAAGAGTCCGACATCTTTCAATTTCTGCCGATGCAATACTGACGATATCGAATCCTGCGCCCTAAGGGACGTGGCTAATGCAGTGGATAAGCGATGCGAGCACAGTTGTGATGGGTAAAGCGAAGTGGGTCAAGGCATTCCGAAGCGCTTCGAGGTAATAGTCACCTAGCTACAACAAGCTAGCTGCACGCGCCTTTGGAGCCTTCTCGAAACGTCACAATCAGGTGCCTCCTTCTCGGCCGATAAGACTCACAGAGGGCCGTGCGAGAGCCGGTCCGAACACGTGACTCGCAAAGCACAACCACGCAGCGTTCGATTTTTGATTCACGATTGTGATTCAAGATTGTCTCTAAGCTCGGACCACGGCAGGCTCATCCGTCGCTACCAAGCGGGGCCGCTGTGGCAAAGCTCTTCAACATCAGTCACGAATCACCGGTGAATGTTTATTCACGTCGCCTGCGAGCGTGCTCCGTATCTTTCAGCTGTGTACGTTGGGCAAAACCAAAAATGATCTTCGCAGACTGCGCGAGGGCATCGATTTGGAGCTCAAAGTCCCACTCGTGACTTAAGAGAAGTCGCCTTACAGGTCGACGGAGGTGTACCAATCGTGAAGGGGCCATCAAGCTGGTGATCCGCGTCTCACTACTCAACCTGTGTCGTCCAAACAGCGAAAGAGGTGGACGTCGGGACGATCACTCAA